CTCCTTTGTTTTCGCTTCCAACCATTGCTACCAGTATCGCACTGATAATGTGTTGGTTGGCAACGGTTCATGCACAAGGATGGACTCTCGGAAGACCTTGCATTTCGCTTCGAGGCTGATTTCCGGATGCATCGAGGCTGATTGTTCGAGTTTCAAGCTGTGTTTGCAAGGCCACCAAGATTCGTAGTAATCTACTATATATATATATATTATATAATATTATAAATATATATATATATATTATAGTTATACTGCTACATTCTTCATTTCGCAATCATTTTGCCCTCCCAGTGCTTTGTCGGTGCCCACCTGGCGGGCAAACTACCCAAGAGATCGAAAGAGACCCCTGCATGCTGCACAGAACTGTGTGTAGATACATACTGGTCGTGTATACTGTATACATATATAATGGTGTATGGGATTCGTTTGTTGAGTCTTTTTCAATGTCCCAGAAAGACGGTCCTTCAAGGCTACGAAGGCAACAGAGGCAACAGCAGGAAGAAGATGATGATCATGGTAGCGTCATCACAGCTCACAACGACGACAACCAGCCAAACTTGCACCCGGCCTGGACAACGCGAACACCATAAACGTCGCAACGCTTGGCGTTGGAAGCGCTGAGGGACCCTTCACTGAGCTCCTTAATTTAGCCTGCTGGCCCTTGCAAGCGAATGAATCCAATCCGAATGACTTACCATTGAGCTTTGAAAGATGTGACTCAAGTTGTGACATGTTGTGACAACTTGGTGCCTCCCAGGGGTGCCCTAGATGTATGCCTAAACGAGACATAGAACATTGAACATCACTAACGGTGTGCACGTCCAACAATCATTCGGAGATTTTGGAGGTGGGTGTGGGTTGAGCTATTCCCACCCGCAACCCCCCACCCAAAAAAGAGTAAATTTGATATATTGGTTGACCTGAACTGGCTAAAGTTACTGGTTCTTGCCACAACCCACAACCCACCGTGAGCGCTCACTTTCTAAGCCAAGCCGGGCCCCGTTTTTGCGGTGCAACATGCAGCTTTGCAGCGGCACCTGAGGGCTAGTGCCACAGACCAATTCTGACAGGCACCCCGAGCAGGTGGCACCGTTCAACCGTTCAAATTGAATGAGTGCCAACTGCGAGCTGTATAGTACATGGATTATGTTTTTTCCTCGCCGCGCCATTCGGCGCCATGTGCCTTCAAAGCCTTCCAGCCTTTCTCCTGGTGGCATTGCATTTGGCAACAGTCAGTCAAGAGCGGCCAGGAGGTTTCACAAGGCGCACTTCTTCAGTGACCCCTGACGATCTGTCATGAGGTCAGGTGTAGTGAATAGGTCAGGTCAGGTGTAGTGAATCAGAGCGCGAAAAACAGGGCTGGATTCAGAGTGGAGCCGCCTCCGTGGGGCTTAGCGCACTGTTGCTTTGGACTCAGACCTGCAGTTGCCAAGCAGACTCCAAGGTGGCCCAACCTGTGAAGAGTTATATAGTCTGGATATTCCCGTGAAATTGGGTTTCACACACTACACGTGCCCTCATTTGCTACATGTGTTTGTGCCCAAGCTGCTTTGGGTTGACTTGGAACACACAGTGTGAGCACGATACAAGGATGCACAAGGTGCTTGGCCAAAAATGCACTAGTCATTAGTCCTGACCGTGTGGCAGCGAGACCTTGTCTTTGATCACTGAGGCTACTGATGGGACGATGCAATCGGCGGGTGGCAGGACAACCCATGTGGTGCGCCAGACGGTCCTGCTGTGCCATCCATTGATTTTCCCTTCTCACTAGCGGGCCTAGTGAGCCAAGTCGCTGTTGGAATGTTGACAGTGGCGCCATCTGAGATCGAAAGTGAGAGAGAGAGAGAGAGAGAACAGCCCAGGAAGTCAGTAGAATCCACTGTCCTGGTGCAGCGCAACTGGACAATCAACAGTGGCTTTTCCATGCTTTTCCTAGGGACACAGGGCAAAACATGGCAAAACGGGAATCACGTTGGCCCGAGCAATTGCCCTTCCCAACCAGTCCACGTTCCGTTCGATGTCCAGTCACAGTCCTCCACGCCTCTCGCGCACGGGACCTGCGCACCTCGGCCGTGGCCCGGAGAGGTACACCTTCTTCGGTGTGAGCTTCGCCACGGGGGCGCTGTTGGGCGCCGGCTTGGGGGACTACCTCTTCCATTCAACCATGGAGGTGGAGGGCGGTGCCCGGCGGTGCCCTTGAAAGGGAGTGGCCGCAAAATCACGGAGGATCGCACATGGGACTCCATTCAAGGGGTGGACTAGCACCCTCAAGCAGCAAGAACGGTAGGCCAGACTTGATGTTGTGTCCCAAGAACAGTTAGCAGTTAGCTGAACCGGCTGAACCACTAGAACGGAATATATATATATATGTTATTATATGTGCAAGTCGATTTTTTTGTCAAGTGTGTTTGCTTATGATGGGTTGTTGTTGGGGGCGTTGTTGTTGCTGTTGAATTTTGCAGGACCTTAACTTTGCAGAGCAATTTATAGGGAGCCGAGGTCAAAAGGATGTGCTATGTGTTGCATAGTTCACCGTATATAGGCAGGACAGGGCAGCATGAATGCACCAGATGAATGAAGAGCACTGCTCAACCCATGGCCCATGTGGCTGTTCTGTTGCGTGTACATCTCACAGTCCAGATGCCAAAGACACGACTCGTCCATGATCAGGCGGCCTACAATTACCAGAGCATGAGCAGTTATCCAGTGCGGGGACACAATTATTTGAGTTCATGCTGCAGTTGAAATTGAAGGTGGCGCGTCTTCACAGTACTTAGGAACATCTGAAGACTAGATCAAACAGACCTACAGATGCCTTTGTTGGCAGAACACTTGACCGAGCTCCTTTTTGAGATTGTGTATGTAATCAAATCATATTAAATCCCTCTTGAAAGTGAAACCTTGACTAAGAGTGATGTAGAAGATGAACAGACCAGCTCCTGTCAGCTGGTGATGGTTGTTGCAGTTTCACATTGGGGTTTGTTTGTGGACCAGATTTGTGGACAAAAGCAATGGCAATGACCATTGTCTTGGTCAAGTGACTTTTCTTTCTGGTCAATGCTCCTATTTCCGAGTGGACTGAGACTGAGAGGCATGTATTCCAACGGTTTTTCTGAACATGTCTTCCAAGTCTTGACCCTGTGGGAAGACTAACAGCATCACTAAAGTCAAATGAATCAATGAAACAGCTGCAAGATCCATTTGTTTCCTGGGGATACATTTGTCACCTATCTTGCCTCTTTTTGTTTCGAAATGTTCCCTTCGGTTCGCTTGTTTTGTTTTGGTGGTTTGGTGTCCCAGCTCTCAACCAATCATGGTTGCATGCTAGGCGCGGATGCCAGTTATATCAGCTATGATCTATATGGGATCCATGCCCCCCAAACCCATGACATGCATGGCACCAAGACCGCTCAGTCCTGCACCAAGACCCCTCAAAGAACTCCATTCAATGGACCACTGCTACGCCCCTATCATGACTGGCGCATCACGCCAAGGCAGTGAACCCTGCCAAGCAGAAGGGCCAAGAGATTATGGTGCGGTGTTGTCGTGCTGCGTTGAATGGCAAGAGGGCTCTTTGCTACCAGATTCACCCAAGTGTCGTGAGACAAGATGATTTGCTGCAGTCGTGTGGCTGGGATGCTTGCAACTTCAATGACCGCAGTTCCCCTTGTTGAAAGAATAGCATTTCAGGCAGGCTGGGGATCAGGACGGCTGATGTTGCTCAGGCCAGATGCATATGGTAATCATCCAAGTGGCTGATTGTTCCAGAGGTCCTGACAAGTGGCTGGGTGTCCTGACAAGTGGCTCGGCATGATGGCGTTTCATGGCCTTCCCACCAGGATGCAGGCCGCGTTTACTTCTCCGCTGGCAGCAAGTTGGATCTCTCCAAGTTGGAATGCCCAGGAGGTCCTGTGGGTAGGAGTCAACCAGAATGGAAGCGGCAGTGGTATAGGGGTATGTTAAGGATAGTTGCACTCGTATTAATCCAAGACTTGCTGCAGACGCGCACCCCTCAATCGGCCTTGATTGCATAACACCTATCGACACTGGAGTCCTCGAGCCTTTCTGAAGCTACTCCACCTGGAGGGGGCATGAAAATAAAACCTACATCTCCAAGTGCCTCCTCAGAAGGTATTTGGACCCTCCAAATCCACCCCAAACACCTTCTCAGAAGGTATTTGGAGGCCCAGGGAAATAGCAACGGAGGCCATCTGTCTCACGCCGTGCGGAATCGTGGCCAGCGTGGCGACCAACGCACCGCGCGCGCGCGTCCACTAAGGTCGATGAGCTTTCACAACTTCGAGGAGTGACCCATCTGGATGCTTTTGAGTTTGTTTTTTGGGAAGTGACCCTTTTCAGACTGAGTGATGCTCTTAGGTCATGGTCAGTCCAAGCGACATCGGGTTTCTTTTAGCTCAGATGGGCTGTTTCAGGTGCTGATGATTTGTTTGAGTTGGGGGTTGTGAACTAGGGGTGCATGGTTTAAACATGTTTCAATGCAATAAAACTTCATACGGGTGTTCTTTGGAGGCTGCTGCGGCTTGAAACGTGTGCGGCCTTGACAAAGATGGTAGGGTTCCTTGTTTGATCATTCACCTCAAGAACAAGTCTGTCCCGGTAAGCGTGAAAGGGGACCACACTTACAACATTCTTGTCCCATCTACATAGCTACAGCATCCATACTTATATATCAGGATCCACACATGGCTCAGGTATTGCATCGCCCCCATCGTCAACGGAGACGAAGAGCTTGCGTTTGGACTCCAGTTTGCATCGCAGCGGAAGACACGGCCTAGCCCACACCAGCATGAATGGTAACAATAGGATATAGTAGGAGTGAAGTTGGTCCAGGATAACTTCCCGCAATGTAGAATCATTATGAATCTTAACAATTCCTTGCTGGCCGCGGAAACTCCTACCTGGCGTGGATTTCCCCTAAATCCGCGAATCCCCCCGGGCAAATCGGACTGAGGCGGACATTCTTTTGCCCCAGGTGCTTCTAGGTATGAAGAGGGCTTTGCAATCCCTGTCGGCTGTGCAGTAGATTCACCATGACCCCCAGCCTGTCCGTTTGCTTCACGAAGGTTGTGGAGCCACGCGGCGTCACCTGCACCGAGGTCCTATGACTTCTGGGCTGTGGGAACCAACTGCTGCAGTGAGGGACACTTCCGATGTGGCGAGCCGGGGCCACTCAGTGGGACGTGGAGACGCAGAACATCGCGGAACGATCGGAACGGTCGCGGCATGTTTCGCCTTCCTTAGACCATCATTGGCAGCCGTTCACATGTCCGGTATGTCCTCCACATGGAACCCCACAAATGGCTCCAACGATTAGCCTAGAAAAGTGTATATGGACCTGACAGATCTGACAGATGGCTTGACAGAAGGTCCCACATGTTGGAAGGTGTCCTTGTTTGGCCCACCCTGGTGGCCCAGCACGGCCCAAGCGCTCCAGGTTTGCGAATCTCCACGCGCGCTCGGGGCTGCGGTACATGGAACAGGCTGGAAGACTGTCGCGGGACCCGTGTGAACGCACGGGCGATCGGGTTCACGAACCTGGAGGATGTTCACCGGAACCTCAGGCGATCAGCAAATAAGATGAAATCAGTTCCTATAATCTAAGTCTTTGTTTGGTTTACAGATATTTACAGTGACGCTCTCGGAATATTGCTGTTGTCTTTTGGCCGCTTAAGTGGTGGAACATTCACGATTTGCACGTCACCCAAGTCCTGGTGCACCAAACCGAAGAAAGGAAACCCGTTTGTGACCGATGTGTACGCCCCCTCGGCAGCTCTGTTTGCGTTGCAGCTGCACCCACAGGAGAAGCAGGTGTCCTTTCAGGCGGCGGTGCAACAAGCCGAAGCGGCTTATCATTTGAAGGCCAGATGCCCCACTACCATACGATGTCTCACGTGAGGTGCTCATCCACCGTGTCTCATGAGTGGAAGGTCAGAATGATGTTGGGGCGCATACATACGGCTCCATGTCTCTTGGCCGCCAGAGACCCGTCGACTGGATGAGGCCAAGCATCCGCTCTTCTTTGTTTGGGCGCAAGATCCGTTGGCGATGATCAACACCAAGGCAGGCTGCGAACGGATCTGCGAAGGTGAGAAAGCTGCAGATGTGTGGCTCAGTCGGTGACGGGAGGGTCTCAGGGGCAAAGAGGCCCTGTAGACCAGTAAGTAGCGTGGGGCTTGTTCAGTTTAGGAGTTCCAGGCTCTTGGTGTGGTTTCACAGCCCTTGCAATCCATGAGATTCCGCACCCTGGGAGTCTCCAGAAGGGGCTGACTGGTGTGAACGTTCTACCTTCGCTTGACCGCTGGTGGTCCACAACCATGAGAGCTGAGCCTGAATGGTTAATCTGTTGGGCCCCTTTCATGGGCGGTTGCATGCAACCTGCTGTCCACTCGCGGAAAGTATCACTTGATTTTGATCGCTTCCATGTAGATTTCGGGGTGCATGCCACGAAGTATGTGACGCAGTATGTGGACTAGATGTAAGCCTGTTGGTCGCCTTTCCTCATGGGTTGAGCAACTCTGAGGAATGCAGTGTTTGACACAACTTGATTCACAGTCAGAGCCATGGTTCAACCGGAACTGTCCGGACTGTTGCTACGGCCTCCATCGAATCCAGGTTGCTACGGCCCAGCATCTCTATCTCATTTCAGTCGAGGCCTCTGGATCGAAACACCTTTTGACCGAGATCTGGGTGACAGCGGCTGTCCTAGGCCCAATCGCCTGCCACAACCCTGGTTTCTTCGATTCATCTCAATCATGAGAAGATTTTTGCATTAGACAGGTCACCGCTCTAAGGAACTTTCGACATAGGGGGTGTTCCACCTTGGTGCTGTAGAATGGTGACGAAATGTGATTAGACACTGGATTTTTGGGGTGTTGAATAGTTCTGGACTGTTTTGGTCTTCAAAGATGTAAGTATTTGCCAGTTTTCGGAGGTACGTTGCACACTGGGCTTCGGGGCTTCTCTTAGTACCCAGGGTCCGACCCGAAAACCGATCAAAACGGCCCGGGTTCGTTCTCCCACGTTCCGGGCTGATGGTTGGCGTGTTCCCACTGAGGTGGCCATTGTTTTCTTCACGAACCTCTTTGCAGTGATCGTGGCTCTCATGGGTTTTTCACGCTTAGGCCATTTGTGAAGTGATCGATGCTGCAAGAAAAAGAGGCTCCCGTTGTCCCGCTCATGGGGCGTCAGCATGGCGTGCAGTTGGTGAGGAAGGCACTTCGGCAAGAGTGGGTTTGATTGTTGGCGCATTTGAATAGCTTGTAAATGGGTCTTGGCCCTGTTGCGGCCATTAATGCAACAAGTCAGGCTATATACTTCTCATTTGCACACAAGTTTCTGAGGTTGCTTTTTGACATTGTGTGCTAGGGGATGCCAGGGGTTCCTAATTCATCAAACAGATTTTCTTAGTTCGCAGTTGCAGCAACTTCAGAGTATATAGATGGTCAAAGCTTGCCAAACAAAGTGGTATCGGTATCACCACGACATGGATCTCCAACCTTAAATAATTCTATGCATGACGGTGCCCCTCTGAAAGGAACTGACACAAACTGAGAAAAGAGCCGTGAGTAGAGTGTAACAGACCCCCTTAACTTGGGGGAGTTGATCAATGTTGTCGATTCTGCTCCATCCTTTTGAAGGTGATGTCTTTTTTGATGTGTGGTTCATACGGGGACTTCAGTCCCGGACCGCTGTGACGCACGCGGGCTTCCACGGCACCGAGGCCCACGTCGCCCCCGGGCCGCGTGACGAAGGTGAACCCGCCGCCCGTGGAAGGCGCAGAGACGGAGACCGCCACACAGCAGGAGACGGACCGCTCATGTTGGGCTTCGGGAAGAGGGTCACAGATGGTCAAAAGCATCAAAGCACAAAAAGGAAAGGAAGGAAGATCTTGGACATGTAGGAAAACCATGTACCATCAGGTACCTTACAAATAAACACATTTGTTTGTTTGCTTTGGGCCTTGTACGCGTGTGCTTCGATTCTGAACCAGGTTGTACCGTTTGGCTGATTCTATTTGACTGTCGCTTTCTCCGTCAGCTTTTCCAACTTCATTTGATCTTTACTTATCCTAGGTCAATGTGATAAGGAGGAGCCTTTCTCCGGCGTTGAAACCAATTTGTGACGCTGAGTCTTTTGCACCTTCCAGGTTTGAGAACATTTCCCGCCTTCCATGTTCAGGGTCCCTCCATGATTGGGACAGCCGACTGCCAGGTGCAGAAGAAAGCCTGGCCAGCACGGCGTGGCTTGGAGAAAGCAACATGCAGTTTTCTGCAGATCGGTCGGCTGGATGTTGGCAAGTTGCACCCCAGGCAACACACCATTTGATGCTGAACGCGGTGGCCACTTGATAAAACTGGATGGACTTCTGAGTTGTCATGGGGTCGCCTCACGCCATTTCTCCATTCGATTTGCAACAATTCCAAGTCCTATTAGCCGCTAGCCATGCTCAAAAAAGAGTACGGCGAGTACGGCTGCATGTGACACATGTTTCTAAAGAAAAGGAAGTGTTTCCTGCAGTCCTGTCACGTCCCAATGCGTCAAAACAAGGTTTGGCGGGTCGCTTATGCTGAGGCGTGCCCAGAGTGGTGGGGAAGCTTGAGCAGACGCGTCATTGTCGCGGACACTTTGATCTAATCTCCGAGTTGCGTATCAGCAGAGCCATCAATATTCTCACGTGCTTTCATGACCAAACTGGGCCCCCTTGGGAGTTCCCTACTACAGATGAACAGGTGAAAGAAGAGGAGATTATATGAAAATATAGATATTTGAATTCTGATATTGCTCGGGGGTGCCATACATACGTGACGTGACGTGACGCGACGCGACGTGACCGTGGGCCATTGGGGAGATCGAGGTGATGGTGCCTTTGTGGAGGCGCCCAAGCGGAACAAAAGTGCCCCTTGGTGGAAGAGCGAGTCTTGAATCGAACGAGGACGCTGATGCTGTGTTGCTGCTTCTGTGGGTTTGGCCTTTGGATTTTTTAAAGGAACCAAACGACCAGTGAACCAAACGATCAGTGGTGTGCGATGGGTTGTGTTTCAATGTTTTGCTGGAGCAGACATTATCACACACAAACCAGAGGGAAGCTTGTTTGGGCATGCTTTTGGCATGTGTTCGTGTACACGTCGAGCACGGACTTCCGGACTTCCTACGGCCCAGGTGAGCCTCCCAGAGTCCAAGCCCAACAGGCCCGGCTTGGGCAGACGGTGCGGGGCTGAACACCTGCCGTTCGCGGCCTGCGAACGAGTCCGCTTGGTCTTGCGATTGCCGTCCGCTCCAGAGATGACACTGACGACACCCCGTTCCAAGTCCAAGTCCCAGGACCGAGAAGGATGAGGCTCAAGGCAGGACTGGCAGCATTGCTGCAGGTGACTGAGTGGGGTCCATGTAGCCCCCAACGAAACTCTAGATAGTTTGGGCAGAGGCTTTGTGTCAACTCAAGTTCTGAACCTTTCCTTGTTTGACCTTTGCCGGCTCCCCCGTGAGTTGTTTTTGGCAGGCTTAAGATTCTGGAAGCACCGAACACATCCCTAAGATGTTGTGGGCTCATGTTACACCTGGGCAGCCTGGCCGGTGGCGGTGGCTTTTGCTTGGAGCAACAAGATTGAAAAGCCTCCAAACATCAGACTCTTCAAAAGGAGATGTGCATCATGTATACAGTTATTCTGTTGTGTCCACCAGTTACATGAGTGACGTGGCAGCGATGGGGGTTGTCGATATCCGAACATCAAAGAGGTGGTGAGCTCCATAGGACTGCCGCCCCAGACAGACCCCCCTGGCACCAACCCCATGTAAGCATATATGGCAGTCCCATGGAGTGTCTGGGGTGATGGTGAGCTCCACTTCCATGACGACTTCGTGTAGCCTGGATTGGTGTCGCACCACCTGCAAGGCTCTCGCCCAGGCGACCCGCGGGGCGAGCCGCGGCTAGGGGGGGAGTTGAAGAGAGGCCCTGCTGGGCGGAAAGAGCGTTGGAAGAACAGCACCGGAGTGCCAGATGTGGCCAGATGGAGGGCCTGCATTGTCTCCAAGAAATCTCTGTAAAAACTAGGCTAATTTGCTTCTGTTAGTAGCTGAAGGGGCAGGCTGATCCATTGTTCGATTGACTTTGTCCAAGATTCCGATCTGCACTACACCCACAGATTGTTTTTTTTGTCCATTTGGTGGCTCAGATTCTTTACCACCCAGCAGACTACGCAGTGGACTTGGTGAGCTTCACGGGTGAACTGTTGCATTAGGCATGTAGCCCTCCCATAGGTGATTTGCCCTTGTTTTGAGGCTTGGGGGGTTACAGTACTAGTCCGAGAATGCCTTACGTGCGTAGGACAGTACGTCGACTCAATCTTGGAGTCTGGATCGAATAGGTAAAGTTAGAGGGAGAGGAGACTGAGACTCCCAGCTAAGCCGCTTCTTCGTCCCAAAGAAACCTACTCAACGGAATTGGTGGTCCACTTCCAGCTCGGAGTGTAGACCTACCAATCCGACACCGCCACAGGTGCCCGCCAGACTGGAACCGGACCTGGAACTCGCCGGGCCGAAGGTAGGACCTCTCCCAAAGGCGGCGCAGGCGTCGACCGGCGTCGACCGGCGACAAGGGCGGTTGTGCGGGTGGTTTGCCAAAAAAACACAAGAAAGAGATCAGACTGGTAGATCGTAATTATTTGGCTACATAGAGACTCATGGTACTTTGAACATCCATGAGAGTTCTGGAGTTTTGGTTTGTTGGTGTTGCTTAGACGTGGTGCTAAAAAGGGGCATCATCAGTGAAGTAGATTGAACACGGAGAAACCTTGAACACGGAGAAACCTTGAATGCAGAAGTTTGGGACAGATTATATTCTGTGATCAGGACAACCATCAGTATTTTGCACATACAGCTTTTTAGACCTTTTTAGTAAGTTGCGGGTAGAGGCTTTCGTTCCATGGGCCATCAATGTGGTACACTTTCTGCGGGCAAGATTTGAACGACCATGCGTGTACAACTGTGTTTACAAATGTACAGTGGTTTCAGAGTAGATTGCGCAACCCCCAAGTTCGGCGAATATATGGCTCCATGTGAAGGACCTAAGGACATCTTGGGTTTGAAACCACTGTGATCAATGTTACAGCCTCGCCTTCAACATCACATGAGGTACGCCATTCAGACCATTCGAGCCACGTGCAAATGGTGTTGTGGTGACATTACATCCAGAGGACCGGAGCCAAATGGAGCCCCCCCATACAACTGGCTTGCAGAGGAACATAGGAGCAGAACAGGGCATTCCACTACTGTGGTCCATGTTTAAAAAGTAGCTTAGTAGCTATATAGACTCAGGAGGGTACCAAAGACCAATAAACAAGACCCAGAAGGTACAAGCCACGGGTTGACTTTGGTAGCCTTGTGGATGGCAACAGAAGTACGAGAGTCTGAAGCCTCACCCACATGCATGGAGCTGGGTCTAGAACCAGGGACAGGCAACCACTCTCCATCTCCAAAAGCCAAGCCCGGGCAAATCAACGCCCCAAAAAAGGTGCCCTTCAAATCCTTTGGAGTATTTGCTGAAGGGTATGCTAACAGCCTCTGCTGTTTGCGCTTTCAATGTCTTCCGAACTGGCTCCGCCACCGCCCATGCACCATGGCCCGCTCCCGCCAGGTCCAGACGGAGGCGGGTGACGGTCCTGCCGGGGGGAGTGGCGAGAAGGAAATGGTGAGGAAAAGGGTCCCATCGCAATCAAACTAATTTTATACTCATAATTACTCTAATTACTTCGAAGTACTAGAAATCATGGCTTCACCATGATCCAACAAATTACTCTACTTCGAGTGGTCCCCACCCTGTTTTTGTTGGTGATTTGGCATATTCCACAACCATAATTCCTGTCAGAACAATCCCAAAGACGCTGGAGGAAGGATGCATGGAATTGCCATGTGTGAGTTTCAGGGTTTGCCCCTAGAATCAGTGACAACGGGTTGCCCCTGATGGCCAATTCACCAAAGGGTCGACATGTCGCCAGCTGAGGGATCCGACATGCGTCCCGACTGAACATTTGCAGTGCATATAGGAATATGTGACATGACTGTGTGTGTGTTGGTGGAACTGGCATGATTCAAAAACCATTGAACACCCGCATCATATGACACCTATGATCATGAGAAGCATCATCAAGCAAAAGAGACCTGCTGCAGTGGCACGGTTGTGGCCGTGGGGAAGTGAATACACCCTGCCAGCAGCCTGGGTTTGCAGGCAAAGACCAAGGCCGACTCGGCGGCGCGGCGTCACGTGTTTGGCGGGTTGCTTCGTCGAAAGTAGCCAACGATACGTAAGGAAGAGTGTTGTTGGACACATGTAGACAAGCGACCAAGCTTGGATCACCCAGTGAGAAAGCTTCGTACTGTGGGGGACCAGTCGACCCAAGAGTCGAATCCCCTGAAGTGATGCAGAGCAAAGTGATTGCGACGAGAAGAACAGCCACAAGCCCAGTGGTTCAGGCACAATGGAGGTCGAACCTGTTAGATGTGGTATATTAATACATTTTAATACTATGGGTGATTCCCCGGACGATTGGCTGCCCAGGGGGTCCTCGAATGAAGGGCCGACCCAGTGGAGCCTTTCCAGGTGCGCTGCGTGCGCTCGTGTCGGTGATTTGGGAAGTCTGTGAGGTCCAAGATTGACAGGATGATGTCATGTCAACCAGTCAGGACAATTGACGTCCTCTCCGAGTCGGTCTCCCACAGGAGTTCCATGGTTCCTTTCTAATTCTCCACACTGGAGCTAAGGATGATTGACCGCAATCCTCTCCGTGTCGATTCCACGTGCGGCTGCGTTTTGTCTTTCTTTTCTTTGGGGGGGCAGCTCATGTTCAAATTCGACACAGGGATCAAGGATCAAGTGCAGGACATGATGCACTTCCCCTTGTTTGGAAGAAAACGAGAAGAAAACGGCCCACATCCGACGTCCATAGCCGAGTCGCGAAGCTCAGGTTTAACCCAGCACCTGGATCCACAAGTTGATGAGGAAGAGCCACCTGCAGGCACACCCACCGGTTGCAGATTTCCAGCCACCGGTGTGGAGCTTTCTGGTCGATTTGTGCTTGGTTTGCGTAAGGAGTCTTACAAATCACGGAAGGATGACTCATGAACCGGGGGCAGCATGCTGCATGCTTTTCCCCTTCGCTCTATCCTGGTTTCTTTGCAGTGCTTGTGTTAGGACTAAGGCTCGGCCTGGTGAGTCACTTAGGACGTGACTAAGGCTTGATGTATTTCATGGTGATATGCGTCGATTTGTTCACATCAGCTTCACTCAGATCCGCCCACACATGGCTCAGCCACAATGTGTTTTGTGCTGAAGCGAAGCATGCCATGATTCCCACAATCAAGACACACGTGGCGACCTGCAGCGGAGCAAGGCTTCGCTACTAGCAGCAAGGGGCACCTCTACTAGTAACAAGGGCGCTACTAGTATATTAGTATATATTACTATAATGTTGTATTGTATTATGTTTTACTGTATTATATTATATATATATACACATTTATTTATACCAAAAAACATTTTTCAACAACTATGGCTTTGATCCATTGGCCGTCTTCAAGCAACAACCATGCGGACAGCAAAAGTCGTTGGTAAACAAGGGTTTGCAAACCTCGTTCTTGCTGTTTTTCTGTATGTCTATTCGTAGCCATGGCGCGCTGCTGACCATGGACTGATGCCAGTGGCTTCCTCGCAGGCGATTTGGCAGCTCTTGTGCCCTGGAAGTATCGGAGGTTTGGCTTGGTAAGGAGGGGGTCTAAGTTTCTCGTCCCAGAAACGCCTTGTACCGCCTTTGAAACAACTCTTTTCCACGAGTGCGGACGCCATGTGGGCGGTGTGCCCAGGTCATCAACCGCCTTTAAACGACTCATGACCTCGGACCTCAATGTGGTCTGAAGGTTTGCTAGTCCGGTCCTCGGACGAAGTCACATGAGTCGCCGATCTGAACGTTCACATGCCAAGGCCATTCAGTTCATGTACCCTACACCTCCAAGAGCCTCCTCAGAAGGTATTTGGACCCTCCAAACCCACCCCAAACACCTTCAGACCTAGGGGTACTGTATACGTCGACTTTGACCATTCACGACACCATGACCATGCCTTTCTTTTTGCACTCGTGGTTTTGAAGAGCTGTAAAGCATGTAAAGAGCTCCCATGGATTAGCAGCAAAAGCACAAGACAATACCAAAAGGTTGTTCCTGTTGGCCCACCATGGAGTTTGCACGTGGCTGACGCAGGAGCCTTTGCGGTGTGAGTGGATAGCATGCAGTGTTTCAGCGTGGATGGCCATTTCAGCCGAGGTCGGAGAATGATGAAGCTGCTCGCCACCTAGGAGAGTGAATCTAGCGGGACTCACCATGCTGAGGTGGCTCACCAAAGGGTTCATCAAGACAGACATGGCCAGTGAACATGGACCCTACGTTATAAAATGTAGACTGTTGATTTATAAAACTCACCCACGTAATATGTTTTCAGTATGAGTAGACATTATGTGTTAAATACATTGACCAATTCCAGGAAGCTGAGCCCACACCGAGCCCACAGTCCTTTTGTTGGTCCACCGTTGTTCAGCTCTGCATGACCATAACCAAATGCATTTCTTCCCTGCAAATCCTATGGCAGGCACAGTGGCAACCACATGAAGCCACATCTGGTTGCTCAATTTTCTAACTTTTGTGGCCCACCTGCCCAGCCTTGTGCTTGCGTCGCCGCAGGAGTGGGCCTCGCCCAGCACAATGGCATCCGCACGCGGGCACTGAGCGCGACCAAAGACTTTCAGCAGGACGAAGTCATCTTGGCCAGCGACTCCACTCGCGTGATCCGTGCGGCAGACCTGCAGGGAAGGCAAGGAGCAGCTGCTGGAGCAGGGGCGTCCTAGGGTGGAACTGGATTTGGAGTTTTTTTTTTGGTGCCCTATCAGAACCTGAAGAAAGGATTCCAGCAAACATGTTCAAACACTGAGACCGGGCTGTTTGGCTGAATCATCCACATGTGAATGGCCAAGGAACCCACCCACCCACGCCAGGCGCTTCGAGGGCTGTCCAGACGACGCCTGCCGCCTTGCGCTTCATGTGGCGGAACGTGCCAAGACGGGTCGCGATTCCTTTTGGACGCGCCTGGGACCGGTCTGGGCGGAAGAACCGGTCGGAGGCTTCAGAGCAGCGTTGGCCCAGCTGGGTGGATCGTTTGCCCCACGGTGTGAGCCAGAGCTGCCCAGATCTAGTGACTAGGATGCTAGGACGGGACAAATAATTAGATTTTAGATGCAGTGCACTAAAAAGGTTGGCCCAACGGACAATGATGGATGTCACGCGTTGGAATGTGATGTCCAACCCTTTGCCATCAGAATGAGGCGTTGCTCTTTTGATTATTTCAAGGGCTTCACATTCTTGATGTTAGGGTAGCCCGGGGTAGCTTTGTTTTGTCGTGTGAGTCTTCCCCTCAGTTGGTCTCCACAATGTTAACCCCGGTCCTCAGAGTGTACTCTCCACATTCAAGTCTTTTCCATGAGCAACGAAGTTGATTACCTGATTACCATTGATTACCTGGTCCTGGTATGCTGGTTGTGGATCGTGGAGCTGTTGTAGGCTGGTTGTGAGGATCCCACACATCTCATCACGGATCCCACGCGGCCTCAGCCAAGGTGATTGATTCAACAGAGACAGGTCGACTTCTTTCTTGAACATGTTGTAGGGGACTCCGACCTGTTCACCGCCGCAGGGAGATCGCGTCACGAGGAAAGCCCTGACCCCCCAGATTGACCGAATCAGCGTGACCGAGGAAAGCCCTGGCAGCATACCCATCCTTCAGCGAGTTCGAGGCATTGGGAATGCCCTTGGCAGCCTCTGAAAGGGCTTTGGCAGTCTTGAACCAGGCGAGGCCAGAGGTGAAAGCAGCACATGGAGCCGTCCCTTTATTTTTGGCTTCGCAGGATGGAATTGCAATCAGTATCAGTTGTTGGCCAAGGGTTCATTTTCGAGCATATGGTCCGAAAGATCGAGGGAAGACAGTCGATCTACTCAATAGCCACTTGTAGCACTTGCAAGGCCTTCGGAAGAGCAGTGTCCGGGTGGGCACCCATCAGAGTCCTGTCGTGTTTCCATCGTCGAACAGTCTAACCCTGGATGTTTGGGGACGTTCCCTTTGAGAGCCTCTTCCACGGCCGAGGGGGTGATGCGATCGAAGCGCATGAGTCACCGGACCGTGTGAAATTGGCAGGGGTCAGGGGCGAAGTGGAAAACCCCCATGGTTTGTAGAGGGAAAGGCTCTTCCAAGGGGCCATGTTCCACTTCCATGTGAGTTCCAGCAAGTGTTAAGTACTTCGCTCTCTTCCTTCGGTCCATCGACTACCTTCACCATGTCAAGGTGCCCGACTTCCAAGCTTTGGCCACTTCTGTGCGTCAGACTCGGGGTGCCATGCTCTCCGCCCTTGAGAGCTACAACCGTGGCTTGATTGAAAGGCAGCCAATGACACGAGAGATTGGAGCCAAGACTGGGCCGCCGAAACCCTCCGAAACCGCAAGGAGTTGCCAAAAGCCATGGGTCCTGGAAGTTGGCCAGATGTGGTGTTATATAAGGTCCGTCTTGGGGGCTCTGCCATCCGATGCCAGCCATAGAAGTCAGCACGTTGAGATGGTCATGGGGTCTCACTGACCTCGGGCCTCAGGTCATTCCACGACACAGTTGAACTTTGCTGATGCCTTGTGGGGCCGACTGGTGGTGGACAGTGGGCTGGGAGATGTACGGTGCGGACCGCACGTGGCACCGGTGTTGGATTGGGTGAACCACAGCACGAAGCCAAACGATGCTTGGTGGAGCTGTCGGTACTATTTGATTTGTGGAGACGTTGGTGTCATGCTTTTTGTTGTACTGTCTAGTGTTGCCTTTTTGTGTTGAAGCAAGTTGGCGTTTGCTGAGCGAGTACGTGGATTTAGATGTGTCGACCAACCACCTCACACTTCCTTGCCATGCCCTTGACCTAAAGGTGCAACTAACTTGCACTATGTCCCCAGTGTGGCCAAACCCATCTGCCAGTGTTCAAAAGGTGACTTTCAGTGTGCATTCTGATCTTTCCAAGGTCCGATATGAATGCCATGACGGCAGCCTGGCATCAGCCACACATGGCCTTGCTTCACCTTACTCGTTTCCTCAGAAACATGGGCGAAACGAATAAGACGCTGCGGCATTTGTTTGCTCGGAAGATGATCATTTTGATTGTGTCTTCGGAACATGCCGATGGTTCCCCCTCAGTCCTGAGCATGGAGGGTTCGTGATGAGCACTCAAATCCAGCCTTGGCAGAGGTCCCGAGGCATATCCACAATGATATATGTGACACGCTTTTGAAATTTTGGAACCACTGAGTGGCTGAGTGACCTGGTTCTTGAATTCACAGTAATTCAAGTAGCAGGATAGGCAAGATACTCTTATCAACCTTTGCCCGAAGATCAAAGCCAATGACCCCAATGATTCAGCACAGCCCAGCTACCGTATATTGTTTGCTTAATGATATATATATATATGTGTGTGCTTTGGTGTTTCTTTTGAAACAAAAATCTACTTGTTTTGATGTGTCTTCTACTTTGGTGCGGTGGGGCTTTGCAAGTGATGACCCGGTCTCGCTCACGAGGTCGGGTGACGCTTCAAGCTTTGCGGCGCATCCGCACGGGTGAGGAGCTGCAGGCTGCTGGAGAGTGGATGGGATTTCATGTGTAGTTTTGGTTGTTATTCCATTGAATTTGATAACTTGTTGCTGTTTTTCTTTTGTTCGTCTTCATTTGAAGTGTTGTGTAGTTTTTCTGTCGGTTTGTTGGGTAGGTTGATGTTTGGCGGGTCCAGGAAAGGGATACCAGGTAGGTAGCTAAGCTAGAAAATAACTAAATGAGGTTGGTCCGTTGGTTTGTTGTGGCCCATGTACTGATGTTGACACTCCGGTGGAGCCCAAAATGGCTTAGTTCTGCTTCTCTATGTCGCTCGGACCGAGGCAAGCTACAACCAGTTGGGACCGATGGCCAACTTCGCTCGGTATGGCATCATCGAAGCTCAGCCGCGCTTGGAGCTGCTGGTGAAGGCGATGCTACTATGGCCCAGTTCTTTTTGTTTTGGTGGTGCTTGGTGAACACGGAGAACGGAGAGGCATAGGATATCATCGCATCATTCATCATTCTATTATATAAATTCCTGGGTGTATGGCGGGTGTATAACTAGGTGAGAGAAAGAGAGAGAGAGAGAGAGACGTCAGAGGCAGTGAAGACGGGCTTGGTTCCATCATACTCCTGCCACTCTCCTTCCCTCATTCCCTCAGGAAGACCCGGGTGAGGCAAAGCCCCTCAGCCCGTCGAGCTGCACGCGCTTGCAGATTGTAAGCTGCTTGGGTTGCGGCAGAAGGTTATCATGTTTTTGACCTTGTAATTGATCACATAGTAATCATTCAAACATATCAATACTATGCCTTCATGCTCCAAAGTAGGTTTAAAAAGACAAAATTGATAGAGTAGATGCCAGGATTGCGGCACAGCAGCGTACCCCATTTGGAACCCATTTTGTGGGTAATTATACAATGTTGATTTAGAATTGTTCTCCTCTCAGATTTGGCCAGTTGTTTAATTGGAAAGTGTGCCGATCTAGCTCACGACTCATGAGTATTTCGGTCCGGGAGAGAAGAAGGCATGTTTGGCCATGAAAACCCCTTGTTCGGGTGGCCTACACCGCTTTCTCATCACCAACGAGGGGCTTTCCTCAATGCCAACGGAACTGCAGGTCGGCTTGGCCGTAGGTGAAGCCGATATATTTGATTCCATTTGTACAATTCATTTCTATAAGAATCTATGAGAAACATGTTATAGATACTTATAGATCGGCTTGAATGGGCCAAATAGATTCAATGGACAAATCGGTAATTTCAGACACCAGGTTGGAATGGGCCAACCTTGGGGATGGTCGCTTCATCGGCTGATGTGCCGATGTGCCAAGGTCTGGACAAAGAGCCAGTGCTTCGAGCAGACACTGAGATGCATCGAGATGTTTTTAGGCCTGATTCAAGGGTTCCTTTGTTCATGTGTTCGGTGCAATCCAACTTGAATCGCTTCCAACTTGAAGACTGCCTTCGTCGCCCGCACAAATCCATTGGCCGGCACCTCCCCCCATCCCTCCCAAGGCCAGCAAGTTCGCACAGATCCATTGTGGTGACATCGGGGCCCGGCAGCCTGCTGCCAGTGCCACTGCCACTGCCTCAACACCGACTGGAGCAGCACCACCCGTGCCGAAACCGGAGCCGGCGATGGAGACCGTGCCGCCCAAAATGGGAAAGCGGCTTGGCATGACATCGCTTATGACGGCAGGGTGCAACAGACTGAGGGGTTTCGGTCAGAGCTGCGTTGCCGTTGCCAGGGCTCTTTGGTGGGTTTTCTCCTGGATTTGTTCCACGTTGGGTTTGATCTAGCGCCTGGGTTCTGGAGCCTGCGCATCCGGAGGTCCGGAGAAGTGAATTTCAGATATCATACTCATAATAATTACACTCTGACTCACTAACATGGAAGTGGATGGCACGGTCCTTTGGAAGACTACTTTCCTTTACAAACAGTGGGTGCCATCCACTTCCATGTTAGTGAGTCGGAGTGTCAATGCCAGGTAGTGCGCGCGAGACATCTCCGACTCTCGCCAGACGACCTACCTGTGGCACGGATCCCGACTCAGGTTGGAGTTGAGCATTCAGCCTTTGACCCAGTTCCTTGGTCGGACCTTCCGGATTGATCCACCAGTCGCGGTGGAGCGGACATGCCTCCCTCCCGGAATCCGGGCCAGGCAAGGCTCCGGTCCGGGAGTGTCCTTAGATTGCTCAGAACCCGTTCCCAACAGAGGTTAAGTGACCTGAACTAGGACCCCACAGGGGTACCGAACTGGGATAGTCTATAGGGTTCTTCAACCTCTTCTGGTCTGTGCAAGTTCCGAGTTCGGGCATGTCAGAACCATGGGGAGTAGCCTCCACTTTTCTGTCTACGGAGATGGGTCGGCAAGATGTTTTGCTTACAAGAACGGCATATATTTGCCATAGTATTGACATCATCCCCGTCGACCTACCCTGGCTAGAATCAGGAGGGCTTGAGCCCCGGCTAAAAATAAAGTTCAGGCCCAATCTGGTAGCATTTTATCAACTGCTTGGGCTGGGGGTATGTGGGGCTGGAGATGTATGTAAACGTTGGGCGCCCCCCATCTACTGGGTGCGCACCATGGTGATGGAATAATATGTTGGGAGGTTGGGGAGCAATGATTTTAGCCAAACATGCCAACCCATTTTAGCCCCAGGGTATTTGGTAGGTGGGTGTGTATATGTTGTGTTTTGTGTATATGAAATCCACCCCTGCAAATGTTCCACTGTTTTGCTCTCTGATACCTTGGAACCCAACCGCTTTAGAAAAAGAAAGCCACATTCCACCACCACACAACAAAGAAAACG